AAATATGTCAAAAACATTAGTCTTTCAAAGATTTAATGTAAAGAGTAGCCAAAGAGCAAAGTATTACCTTTGATTAGGAGGTGAGGACTTCTTGAGTCTTAAGACCAGGCAGTTCTGCAGTTCTGGTTCCTCAAAGAGGAAATTTTCCTCTGCCTGTCACATTTTTGTAAGCAGTTGACTTATTTGTAACGAGGCAGCCCAATGGCATAACTGACGCTATAAAATATACTTTTGTGTCCACAGCATCAAGTTCTACATAAAAGAAAGCTTCAGGATACCAAGAGACAGTTGCTCTATAAAAAGCCAACAGCCTTTTCAAGTAAAAGACAGACCTGAGTCAAGAGTAATGCTGAGCCAGTGAGACTTGATAATTTACAATACATACAATGATGAAGTGCTAAACTACTGAATCACTCATCTTTACAGTTGTAGACTGTGGGGCCCCTGGACTTCTGAGTCTACCCAGGGCTGCAACAGCAAAAAGAGATTTGGAGACCTGATACATGAATAAAAGCAACTTCCATTGCTGAAGATGCGGCACTGCATAAAATTTTGAGGATACGTGTATTAGTAGGATTGAGTGGAAGTTTGGTACTTCTAAAGTTGTGTGCCCACACTAGAATGGCTTTCAGTCAGGTAGGCAGGGCATGACATACTGTGTTTCAAACCGACGCTAGATTTAGACTGAACAATATGTGAAATGCATTAGCACACTCCTCTAATCAGGTAGGGCAGTCTCATGCTATGATGGAAAAACAGTCCTGGCAAATAGGTTCTCGAGGAAAAGAGATAAAGGGAAGTGGGGAGGTCTCTGTGATGGCTCCTAAGAAATGCACTGAAAATATTTTCAGAAAAAATTGTGTTGTACCACACAAAAAAGAGATTTTAATATAATTTTAAGAGCTGAAGGCATTTCTCAACTGACTGCAAGATAAACTATATCAGATGTTTAAGAAGACTTGAAGACATTCGTAGTGCCCTACTGATTTATATTAAGTGCAAGGTGTTCTGCAACAAGGTGGATGTAAACATACCTTACATATAATGGTAAGGCTCTGGTTTTAAATGCTAGGATGTGTACACCTGGAGGATGTGCAGGATGAATGCGCAATTTCCTTCCTAATCTACAGAATGTACATGACTCAGTGTCCAGTTTACAGCACCCATCACAGAACTCTGGCAGATGGCAGAACCTCACCAGAAGCCCACCCGGAGTACAATTAAGCCTGCACTCCTTTCCACTCTACAATGGCAATGGCCCAGGTGAAGAAAATGTATATGAGCTGTATGAACAGCAATATGGCACAACATTCACTGATCAGAGAAAAGTCATTCAGTGCTATCTCTTTAATGAGAGCGCTCTTTACTCTGAATCCAAGTGTTTTTCTCTGAAGAGGGGAGATAAAGGGCAGCTGGAAGCCCGTGTGGTCTTTCTGAACATTATGAAAAAAGTTGCAGGAAAATTCCTAGGAATCACTGGATGGCTCTAAAGGAAGGTTTCCTATAGATCATCCGTGAAGACCAGTTTTTTGTCTGTCCCAACAAGAACTAGATAAAAATGCATCTAACAGGAAGGAAGGAAGTGTATTTATTACTTTTTACTACTTATTATTACTTTTCACTATTTAAGATTTAGCCACAAGCCACAGGACTGCACCATAACTAGGACACAGGCCCCTGTAAGAGTTGGTCTGAGCTACGGAGGTGGCCAGTCTTGCTGTAGCAAAATGAGTGGCATAGGCAGTCATGTCTGACAGCAGTCCTGTTAGAATCATAGAATGGTTTGGGTTGGAAGGAACCTTAAAGATCATCTAGTTCCAACGTCCCTGCCATGGGCAGGGACACTTCCACCAGACCAGGTTCCAAACTTGACCAGGTTGCTCAAAGCCTCATCCAGCCTGGCCTTGAACACCTCCAGGGATGGGGCATCCACAGCTTCTCTGGGCAGCCTGTTCCAGTGCCTCACCACCCTCACAGTAAAACTTCCTCTTAATATTGAATCTACATCTACCTTTCTTCATCTTATACCCATTACCCCTTGTCCTGTCACTACACTCCCTGATAAAGATTGCCTCCCCATCTCTCCTGTAGGCCCCCTTCAGGTACTGGAAGGCTGCTGTGAAGTCTCCTCGGAGCCTTCTTTTTTCCAGGCTGAATAATCCCAACTCTTTCAGCCTGTCCTCATAGAGGAGGTGCTTCAGCCCTCTGACCATCTTTGTGGCCCTCTTCTAGACTCACTCCAACAGGTCCATGTCCTTCTTATATTGGGAACCCCAGAGCTGGATGCAGTACTCCAGGTGGGGGTCTCATGAGAGCAGAGTAGAGACGTAGAATCACCTCCCTTGACCTGCTGGTCACACTTCTTTTGATGCAGCCCAGGACATGGTTGGCTTTCTGGGCTGCAAGCACACATTGCCAGCTCATGTTGACCTTCTCATCTACCAGCACCCCCAAATCCTTCTCCTCAGAACTGTTCTCCTATGTAATCTCATGCAAGCTTATTCTTAGCCTCAGCTGATAATAAGTGTTATAAAGATCATAGTCATTTTAACAGCATGCAGCAAATTACAGGGGACTAGAAATTATTGTCTCAGGGCTTGCAACTGAAAGCATATTTCATCAGGCTACTAAAATAACATAAAGTCATCTGCTTTTCCGAGTCTCCCAAGACTGCCTACAGGAGGGTCAAAAATCACACTCCATTTACAAAAGCTGGTAATGAAGTTTCCTGAGGAGCCTTCCAGTACTTTCGAAAACAGCTCTTTAGAAAACATCTGAAGACCAATGGAATTTAATGGAAATTGTAGTATGACTCCATTAGAAAAATAAATTGAGGATTTTCTGAACATCAGAAATCAGTAGGAATAAACAAGTACAAAAGCCCCTAAGTAATAAGCCACCCACTCAGATCTCACTTACTAATTACATTTATTTTCAGCTCTAGTTAATGTTTTTCTGAGGAATCAGTTGTTCAAACACAGCATGTCCATAAACTCTCAGCTCTTGGCTGATACCCGCTAATACAGAAGGTACTGAAGAATTAAACAATGTATTTCGCAAACCGGACTTTTAGCTATCTCCCTAAACCTATTTCTAGAGTCTGTGTTCAGCTTGGACCTTCCAGACCTGGTGTAAATAATAAGCTTGTTACTAATTGTAACTGTTTAATTTGATATGCCTGGAATCTTATAAGCAGTATGAGTTTTTTTCAGGTTGGATAATTACTGTTATCAGAGGGTGAGCCAGCAAGGCAGTGCACTATATTGCTCAGTCCCTCTAAACCATATTGTGCATATTCTTAGTGGATGGGCAAACTCACTGTTCAGACCTACAGGATTTGATTTTCCAGTGGTCTAGAGGCCCTCTGCACATTTTTTTTCCCTGATTTCCTGGGAGACTATGGGTCTTACTGAAATTACAGCTAAAACTGTTAATAGCACCTTTAGAAAGCAAGATGAACTGCCTCATAGCTTTTGTTAGCTTAAAATAATTTAAACTGTGCATCATTAAACAATAAATTGACATGGGTCCCTTGCTAGGTCTGCAAACTAATTGCATATTAACAATCACAGATAATCTAAAAATAAAGGAACATATGCCCAGGTTTTCACATGAGGGAAAATATGTTGTCATTTAATACCATTTCAGAGTTATAACACTGTGCCATTTTCTACACAGTGGTTGTATGCTGGCCTACAGTTAAGCAGATGGTTTGTCATGGGTGACGAGATACAAGTGATATGGAAACTTTATAAATACTGTTACCTAATCCAACTATTAGCCCAGCAATCAACTAAATATCCAAAGTGAGGCTTTTGGTCTCCTAGATGTGGTCCTTTCAGACAGGTGTGGATGCTTACAGCCAGAGCTGAGCTTGCCAGGGGCTAATAGGACAGAGTCTGCAATGGACTCAATGGTTTTAAGAAATGAAACAGCATCCGGGAGGGAAGAGAGAATAATCTTGTCCCACCAGAATCTCTTCTGTGGGTGAAGAATGACTGTCTTGTAATGCTTCATTGGGTACATCTCACCAACGCTCACTATGTTTAAAACCTAGTGGAAATAATTATATGTGGTGAGTAGGGCATCAGAATGGAAAATACAGAGTAATAAACCACCTGAAAACCTCCAAACTGCTGGCATAATTCAGCAGTCTGTGCTACCCTGTGCTCTTTGTCACACGAAAAGAGTCCGGCAGAGGTCCAGCCGCTCTACCCTTTCTGTTCCCAAAAGGTCATTCTCACTAATGGCCATAAACGTAACATGAAGAAGACAAGCACAAGGGTGTACAATGGGTTAACTGAGAGCAGAAGCTAAAGAATTATCTTCATTGTTCAATGCACTTCCTCATCCCTTCCTCTCTCAGGCTCCAACAACACAGAGAAACAAGCCATGCTTCAGTCTTGAAAGAAGAACATATGGAAGCTCACTAGTCACTAGGGAAACATCTTTCAGTGGTTACTAACATAGCTGCACAAAGGAAATAAATGAATTTCCAGTCATAACATTTACCTTTCAAACAAAAGCACTGCAAATTTTAAGTAGGCAAATACAGTTGTTCATTTAACATCACATAAGTAATAGAACATTGTTTTATATCATCATCATCATCATCCACTTTTAAGTCAATAGGCAGGTTTGCAACATGAGATTTTTCAGGAATCCTACAGCAACACATACACACAAACACACACAAATCACATGTAAGAAGTAGCTTGCATAAGGTAAGTAAGGTTAATGGCAAAAGCTTCTTTCTATGCAGAAGAAACTGAACATTAAAGCTGCAGCATTAGGAAAAAAAAAAGTTTAAAAACAAGAATGAAGTTGTACAACAGATGAGAACTTAACAAAATTGGTGACCTTTCCACACAGATGAAGTCAGGTTAAAAAAAACCAAACCAAAACCAAAGGGATCAAATAAGACCAAAAGAGAACCTCCCCCCCACACACATACAGACAAAAGTGAGAGCACAACAAAGGAAGTGGAAGAAAAGTGTTACCCATAAGTAGCCGCCGTTTCACCCGCTTGTCCACATCAGCTACTGACGTGGCATTGTACTCAGAACTCTCAATTGCAGCCTCATCCTTCTCTAAAACACAAGTAAGGGACAAACATGGAGCAGTTGGTTAATCACAAGCCCAATTTTCCGCTGCCTAAGACAGTTTCTTGGCATGGCACAGCCAAAGCCAAGAAGCAAGGCATGAAAGCACTAAATCCCCGTTAGAGAGTTAATTCCCTTTGAGACCCCAGGAAAAAATTAAAGGTGTTTAGGGAAGGGAGGAAGAAAAGAGGGGGAGGAGGAAGAATGGTCAACTATGAAGTAACTAACCACATACAGGAAGCTGGATTCCTACTGGAGAACAAGACAGCTAACACGAGTGCCTCAGAGAGGTGTTAATGATAAAAATTAAAATTCAGAGATGCTAGTTAAACAAACTACCAAAGACAAACTGTAAAGTGATTCAGGCTAATGGTGGCACCAGGATCTGAAGGTGGCAGGCAGAAGACCAAGACAGACAGAGCTAGAAGAGTCCGGTGATGGGTGGGCACGGATGCACCACAGTCTCGTACACATTGACACATCGTGAGGAGAAACCAAACAACAGCATGCAAATTAAACAAAAACAACAACAAAATAAACAACAAACCAAACAAACACAAAAAAAGATCAATTTGGGCAGTGCTGGTTGCCTGCTTGTCTATGAAACACTACTAGCTAAACATTCAATGCTAGGAAAGATGTTGCAAGAATAGGGTTTAGTAATTTTATAAGCATGCAAAAAGCAAGATGGTGTCAGCAAAGGTTATTTTACAAAGTAGTCTCTGGTATCCTACATGTAAGAGTTTCATACAGCATAATGAGGACATTAGTTTGGTTATGCTTCATTAGAAATACACACAAACAGTCACAAGTATGGGAAGAGATGATCAGTCAGTAAAATAAAAACAAAGATTTCTGATACAGGAGAGCAATGGAGAAGCAGCAGCTGGGTAAATAAAATGATTTATACAGAGAGGGAAATGCTTATTAGGAAAACAAAAACCAAAATGCAAGTGGGGACTTTCACATGCAGCAAACATAAAAAAATAAAATAAAAGGATAAGTCAAGCAAACGAAGACAAATATGTTAGACAAAGGGTCAACAAGTATTTATCTGGCATTGCAGAAGTTTGCATTCTTGCAGTGATGCCTGGAATATATGTACACCACTGAAGACAGCAAACATTGGAGTCACTGAAGTGAGGAGGAGGAGGAGGCTGGCAGGTTTTGTTTGTGGTAACACTACATGGTTGAGTGGTAACAAGAAGTTGTTTTGCTCTGTTTTTAACAAGTTCTAGATGGGATCAGGCTGCAATAGAGGCTTTTGTTTGAGTTTTTAAAATTTATTTTACTCTGTAAATAATTAATGAACGTCAGTTATCAGACAAGACAGGCAATCAGGAACCATCACCAGAAAGCAGGAATAAAAACGTAAAAAATAAATTAAAAAATTTAAAAGTATTCTAACAGAAAGAACTACTTAGAGGGAAGAAAATCAGCACAGGCAGTAGTAATATGTGACTTACATCACAAGACCAAGGAATGTAACATGGAGTTGTATGTATTACATTACAAAAATGGAAAAAAAAAAGTAAAAAACAGGTGCAGTGTACACAGCTTTTAAAATAATTTTTACATTCTGGACAAAATAAAACATCAATCCAAGGCTATGAATGAATGCTAATAAATAGAAGATCAATTATCCATTCAATAAAACCTGCTCTCAAGGCCCTTGATCTTGCAAATTCCCTATATCTGGAACTGCCACAGGCTACAGGGAGGGTTATTTAAAAAGAGGGACTGTACGACGGAGCCCTCTGTGTTAATCAGAAGTACTAGCTGAGAGATCCCGTAAACTGAGACATAGCTTGTGTATACAGCGAGGCAGAGTCCAGCCAGCACTGAACCTTGTTCAGCTTTACCTCTGCCAGCATAACCCTCATCCTACCACATAATTTGTGCAATCAAACCCATCAGAAGTGAGTGAGGCTCTGGGCAGCCACGGAGCTTTTATGCCATGGATCTGACCAAGGGATCATTTCCATCAATTTCAAGTGCACTGTCTTGCAGTATTGATAAAGGAGAGCAAAGATGATAAATACACGTCCATTCTTTTTTAACCTGAGGAAATTACTAGGAATTTGTAAGGATTTGAAATTAAACAAACAAAAAAAGTCAACATGACCATAATGCTAGTGAAAACCATTCTGGATTTTAGGTTCAGATCTGTGAGTATGAATTTTCAAATTTTAGCTTGCAATATGCAAAAATATCCTTTTTTTTTGTTTAAAAAAAAGCAGAATGGAAAGAAATGGTGTTAAGCAAATAATGTATTTTATATTCATAAATGTTTGCATAGCAACTCCCAAGATGTTCCATCTCTTGAATGGCTTTTTCCTATTGATAATCTGAGTGAAAGCTTATTCACTGCAAGTGCTGTAATTTTTAGAATCATAAAACATACAACAGGGAAGAAAGCACATCATGACGATTAATTTTCCCCAATAGCAGCTTAGAAAAGAGGATCATGTCCCTCCCCTTGCCTACGCAAGGAAGACTTGACTCATGAAAGTGAACAGAAGAGCTGAACTTTCATTCATAATTATGAATGTTCTATACCTTTTTACTTAAAAAATTATTAGAGTTATGAAAAGAAATAAAAACTGCAAAGGAGTAACAAAGGGATACTTCATTAACAAACATTTTGACAAAACACACACAAATGCTTCTCTCTCTGGATAGCATGACCTTAGCTACTACGGTCAGGAACTGCTGTTATACACTTCTCCCAGCAATGGTGCTAAACGCCTGTGAGATACAAACACACACGCGCACACACACACATACATACATATGTGCACATACATATTCTATGAGGAATACAAAATAAAATGTGCTGCTGAGAAGTACTTACCAATGCAGGTTCGGCCATCTGAATGTAGGGCATACTTCTGATGACAACCACACACAGGACCAGTATCTGTGTCATCACAGGTGTGCTGGCAGCCTCCATTCCCATAGTTACAGGTTACTAGTTAAGCCCCAAATGAATGTGTATATATGTATATATAAATAAAATGACAATGAAACCAATTAGTCTTGAGGGCCTTTCAGAATACACAGAATACAGAAGAGCAGTAACAAACCAAGACATAAGGCAACATCACATTCGTATTTGCAGTCAATTGCATTTTTTATTCTTTCTGACCCCCCTTATCTTAGCCACGCTCCTGTCTCACACCCTACTCTCAATCTATGTAGTGAAGAAAAAAAAGAGAAAGAAAAAAAGAAGCATGTGCGAGTTTTCCCCCAGTCTATTTGTATTCATAATTTTAGTACGAGTGGTTATCCAGTTCCATCTCTTCCTAAAAGCTACATGCTGCATATCTATGATCTATATGGCATGAAGAAATGAGTAGTCTACTAACATAAATGCATATTTTCAAATCTACAGACAGCATTTCTCCTTCATTTTCTAAGCAGAGGAAGCAGAGACCAAACAGCAAGAATAGAATTGTGTAAGTCTTGAAATCTATTATTTCTAATCTCCTAGAGTAGAAGAATGCTTAAAAATAAAACAGGAAATGTGTTTTTTTCTTTTCTTCTCTGAAACAAAAAATACATGGTTGTTATGGCCCTGAAGTGAACTGGCCTTAACTAGGAAGAAAACATTGGAGATGTCACTTTCACTTCCAACCATACAGTGCGAAATGGCTTTCAGCAATTAAAATATCCTTCAATGAAAAGATCCTAGGCATACATTAAAGCAAGACTTTTTCATGCCAGGTAGTTTTTAAGTTTACTTTAATTAATAGATCAGAATCAATTTCCTTTGTCACATGATGTATTTAATTTCTGACTACTAAGACAAACCAGTTTATAAATATTAAACTGGCTAGCGCCACTAACAACCCCTCTCATTTGCCCCTGTTCTGTTTAATCCTTTGCAGTTGCATAGCTTGATGCTGAATAACATAATTCTGATCTGACTGAATTCTGAATTCAATTTACTGTCTTTACATACAGGCAATTTGGACTAGATTCTTTATTGGGAAACATGGGCAGGTACAGGGGAAATCCAATATATCATTATCAGTTATATCATACTCTTCATTTCAGAGGACTTCAATGTTTTGAAATGTTACAGTAATTTAAATACTGACTCCTACTAATCAAGGAACTTCCTCACATTGGTCTTAGCTGATTTTTCCTTCTAGATAAGAGAATTTTCCTTCCAGATAAGAGAATTTATAAAAGAGCCACGGTAGCAAACTGCAATATACAGTAAAACCAAGATAATGGCTAACAGGATTTTAAAATCATATATATAAAACTAAACTGAGGTTCTATTTAATCCAATAGGGCTAAGCTCATATAATTTCTCACTGACCTCAGTGACTCTGCTCTAATGCTAACTTCTTAAAATGGAGTAGACTGGAATTTTCAGTCACAGTAACCAGAACTGAAATATCCCACCTCTGGTGTGAGTGTCTGTCCTGGGTTAAGCTGAGACATAGTGCTGAATAGTCATGCCACTCTCAGCACTTAAGTATCTTGCTTAAAATGGAACGATTCTAAGAAAAGCAACTGAGGGAGAACCACCAGAATTAAACCCATTAAAACCTCGTGCCAGCATGGGAACTGCAAGTTTACATAAACACCATGAAGTCTGGGAAAGACCACAACAGGAACTGCCCATCTCCCAAGTTAGTACAGACCAGAGGCCAGTATGTGTGCAAGCATCCTTGGTCCTTCACCTTGTACACTTTGGATAAAATCCCTATGTTGTTCAGAGATAGTAAGGGAATAGACTCCTGGCCTAGTGGTAAGAACAATCCCCAAGAAGAGGGCCTGACTGGATTCCCACCTGTCCTCCCAGGAATATCACCTTTTTATCCAACTGGAAAAAAATGTCAATGAGAAAGATGGAGAGCAGCCTGACCCACATTCCCTTACTGGAGCTTGACAGTTTGGGCACTAGGCTGGAAAATGGAAATTGTGGGTTCAGTCCTGCCAGACAGAGGAGGGAACTGAACTCACATACCCCAGGTCATAAGAACCCTAAACTTCATAGAATCATAGAATCATAG